CAATGATTTTCCTACAAAAACTTATCAACTCTTCATTATTAGCACTACAATCTTTCATTAGATTGTATATAACATTAGAAAATTTCAAAAAAAAAGCATACAGTTTTTTCTTAAGTATAATTTAAATAATTTTTACAAAGAATTTTTTATAGTATATTTTTTAGATGAATAAAAAATAAAAAAAAGGAACTTAAAGAATTGTAATTAGCAGAAATGTTAAAAGAAACCGAAATATGCCTAGTATATTTTCTTAACCCAACCGTGCACAATGAATATTATTGAAAGATCTTTTAGTATATTGTGAAGGATGAAAACCTGGTTGCATCGACAATGTCCGGAAATTGCCTCAATAGACTACCTATGTAATAAACGATGCCTGTGTGTATTTGTGTGTGTGTGAAAAGAAAGAAGCTAGAAGAAAAAATATCAAGAAAGTTCGCTAAAATCTTCAAAGATTGGCTTTATCATATGTATGGTTTAATAAGTTTTGTACAAAGGTAAATTTTTAACATCCCTCATGCTTGAAATCCTGTACACCCATAGTCAAATTTCTAGTGAATTATGTTCTTACAAATGTTTATGTTTGTGCATGAGTATCATATATAAAACTTATATATTAATATATTAATTATATATATATAATTAATGTTGTATTACTAATATACATATATACACTATATAATATATAATATATCCATTTAGCTAAGCGTGCAGAGATTTTGAGCTTACATTGGCTTGCATTTTTAACTTGAGATTTCAAGTAGAGTATGCTACCAATTTCTGATTTCATAAAAAAGCAACCACGCAGAGTCAATTTACTTAATATCTTATGATGTTGACAAACTATCGCAAAAATAAAACAAGTTTACTGACATGCTTTGCTGGTAAACTGAGCGACAAAAACTGGATAGGATTTGTAGCTGCTCAATTTCTGCCATTAGTCTATCGTCAGACTGTCCGCGCAAATATCTGCTCGGTTTCTGTCACTAATCTACTAACACAGTAAACTCTGTCGACAGATTCTGAGATTAATGCGGATAATAAATTGTTATAAATTTGCAATAAGAATCTAATTGAATTATTAATTTACCAGTAAACTGCTAGCATTTTGCTATATCTGGGTATATTATAACTTATACATATCTATTGTATATTATATATTATGTATATACATTATGATCTGTAATATTATACATATATATATATGTGTGAATTATTTCGTTATTTATAATTCTATTTATACTATACATAGTTATGTGTATATTCTGCATTAGATGTAGTTTTTAACATACAAACTGATGTCACATTTAGGATTGTCATGTTTAATTATTCGTATGTCATGACTTAGAACTATCCCAATCAGCATATAATATTAAAAAAACATTTTTTAAACATTTATTTAATATGTTTACATTAAATAAATATTTAAAAAATATTTTTTAATTTTTGTGCTTATTATTAGGGTATTTAATAAAAGATTAGATATAAAATAGACAAGAATAAACAATATCAATTTACAACACTAATATATGTATATATAACCACTCAATTATTTGACACAACAAATTTAAAATTCAACTAATACGGCAATAACGACAAGAAATTAATTTACCTAATAGAAAATAGAATATCGTATTATTAAGATATATAGAGTATTATATGACATAATTGAAACAGTACATTTCTGATATAAAATATTGTGAAAAATCTCTATAAACATGCGCTCCATCCGAAACGATTGTTCATCTACAAATGGTTATTCACTTTGGCTGAGACATCGGATTTCACTCCTTCAGATTAATTTATGTAACTGTAAGCTTACATGATAAGTTTACATAAAAGGAAAGTTAACATTCAAGCTAAACTGATAGCATATTAATGACGTATGTAAATAAACAAGGAACAAATATGATTCTTTGCAGTTATTCAAGCTATTTTAAAATATACTAAAATTTACTAATATCAAATTTGAATAATTTACATGATCTTTAGATTTTCCTTTTCATTATTTATTTTCAATTAAAAAAAAACCAAAGTGTGCTGTATCATAAGTAAACTTTAATGTTTATAGAACATTTTCTATTTCAATTTACGTTTGCGAAATATGCTCCTTCAGTTTATATGTATAGTATATTAAACATTCTGTACATAATGTTTTATATATAACTTGGTGTATTAAAGTATACCTAATCGAGTATATTTGTGTGTGTACATATGCATGTGTAAAATTTAAACAAATATACATAAAAACTGACAAAAAATATATTTAAATAAAAAGAGATGAACTTTATAATTTTTTTAAAAAGATTCTCAGTATAATATAAGCAAAGAAAACAAAAAAAAATACTAAACTTGTCGCAACAGAAACAGTTTAAAGATAATGTATATAAACAAATTATTATTTAACAAATATCAGTTCAATAACACTTTTTACATCAATTCTATTTTTCATAAATATATACAATTCGGTCATTTGTTTCACTCAAAAATTCAGCCGATTATAATCAGAGACTGTATCAAGCAATTTGTGTCCATCCAATTTCATTAAAGATCAATTAATTTTTAAAATATTTTTCAGTAAATTGTCAAATTTTTTTGCAGTAATGACATGTCCATTAGAATCGCACTTGTGTTATATATACATAATACTACCGCTACGAATATTTGAGAAGCAGACTTCCAAAATACAAATCTTATTGTGTTTTGTTTAAAATTTATAATTTTCATAAAATATGTGAAAAAGAAAGGCACAAAAAACTGAGTACCTTATAGAAAATAACAATTTGCCAATCAGTAAGATGTGAAATGTTCAACAAAATTGTTAAATAGTTGCTAAAAATGTTAATAAAAATATATATATTTTGTTTGTGTGTGTCTAGTGAAAGGACACATATGCTCTTTGAATGTCAAGATTTTTTCAGTACATAAATTGATGGTGCAAAAATGCTTTCAGAACATCATAGAGTAGCTTAAAATATGAGTCTCAACAATGAATACTATGTTGTCTTTAACTCAAAAAATAAAATTTTAGACAAATGCAATTTGGAAGTCTGCTCCTCATTTATGAGTACTTATATGCCTTTATAAGTATCATATGATATTCGATGATTACAAAAATTGGAGTAAATATTTGTCAAACTTTTAGACATTCCTGTAATATAATATTTTTGCAGCAACGCCATCGCTAGTAAAAATTATATTAGCAGTTTACCATAAAAAACTGTTCCGCGTGATTTATTTTAATAAACATAATATGTATTATTGCGGATGTTTGTTCATGATATTGCTGTAAAACGACTGAAAACTTATCAGCTTACTGGCTTCGAATATATCTAATTTCGTTGGCGTAGATAACATATTTATTCTTTGTCATTACACTGGACTGCACTAAAAGTTTGTTCTCGTTTTCACCAAATTTCAGGTGTATATACTTATTTCATTTTAAGAGGATCCTGAAGGTTATCGTGATAACATTTGCTCTGTATAAAAGCTGTGCAATCTATATTTATGAAATAGTAGTCCACAAACTAGTAGTTTGCATGATGAAATAACATGGAGTTCTTAAAATCTTGTAATCGTGAAATATTGATATACTACATATTATTCTGTAGTAATGTGTCAATGAAAATGTCTGTGTGTAAGTCCTACTTACACTATGATCGTTTTTAGGATCCCCTTAAGTACAATAAAATTATATTCAGGGCCGTGCGAAAGATTATTGGTGACCTATTGCAAAAGTAAAGATGGAGCCCTAAGTTTTTGTAAAGTTCGTATTAAAAAAGCTTTGAAGAATTTAGAAAATATAAGAAAACAAAAAATAATTAAAGTTATATTTATATATTTTATTATATATTATTACAGGGATAGCTAAATGTAAAATTTACAAATAAATAAATATATATATATTATATATTATTTTATATTATATCAAGAGACACATTAGTGTCTTGGCGCCAAAGCAAGCGCAGCATATCAAAATACTTTGGTGTTATATGTTAATAATTCAATTTATTTTTCAATTTTTCCATCAAATCATTTGGGCATCGCTAACTAAATTAGAAAATCTCATGGGCTGATGCGGCCCAAGCTGCTAGATGTATATCCCACAATAAAAAGTTAAATATATAAAAACCATTTGGTTAAATAAACAATTGCATCACTGATATATAATTTCACATTAAATTATATTATATAGATTTTATTAAATTTAAATTGTTACTTTTATAAAGTGCAAATAAAATATAAATGAATATCATTTGTAAGTTCAAATTAAATTGAATAAAGATTTTAATTTAAATATAAATAATAGATAATATAAGTAAAGCCCAAGGATACACGCGAGGGAATAGCAATAGCGATATAAATAACACGATTTCAACTTATCAGAAGTTAGATACATATATAGTTTTTTATAAGCTAAAATCGTTATTGCTATCGCTATTCCCTCGTATTATGTCTGAGGCTTAAAACTTTGGGGCTCCTTAGTACTAAGGGCTCAGATATGGTGCATACTCCTCCTTTGCACGGCTCTGAATATATTAGTACAGTTACAAATAATAGACTTAATATTATGTAAATTATGTCGTCATTAGCAATGTGATTACTAGCTGATCGAAATTATTATAAAGAAAAAATGATATCCAATGATCAATGCAAGTGCCATTCTTTTTAGATATAGATCGTTTTTACTTACATGCAGAATCATCTTAAATCTGTAAACGAGTTATTTAGTTAAAAAATACATCTTCCTGTTAAGGCGGTAACGGCAGTTGATGGTGAACAACTGTTTAAGAAAAATAATATCCTGAAGATCCGGATTTTTATGTGAAATTGGAAAACTTCTTATTCTGAAGTAATATCGTAATGTCGTAAATTCGACATGTTGTAACATTCCGCGATTGTGAAAGGAGAAAATTGGAATGAGAGCAAATGTATTATATTCGATAATAATTTTTATCCTTTTCCTCCAACTATATATTGAACGTATTTATCAAAATAAATTAATTATCGCTATCTGCGTAATCAGTATCAGTATCTGCACTATCATGTCCCGACTGTTGCATATCCAATGAATTCATTAATGAATTTGAATCTTTGACCATATCCACCGAGTTGTCGATTAAAATATCCACATTTGGCGATAATTTCCAGGAGACAATAGTATGCAACCTACGAGCAAGCATAATGTCAAATTATATAAAGAATATATCTTTATTCCTAAAAATTATTCTTCAGGCAAAATTATAAAATTATAAAATAAATTTCATATTTTTCACGGAGTATTAAAAATGATTATAAAAGCCACATGCCAAAAACTACATGAAAACATAAATATTAATCGATCATATTTTTTGATAATATACAAAATAATATATAATAAGAACAAGAATTAATAACACTGTCTAACATTTGTTTTATCAAACGAATGTGAATGATCATTTCAGACGTATTATTACTTGCTGAATACAAATCCGTTAGCAACAGTTGACTACTACGTAACAATTTTAAGAAAAATTGCATCGAAAAAACCAAAAACGATTATTTCCTCCCTCATTATCTTCATAAATTCCATAATATTTTTATTTGTAAAAGTTGTAAAATTCGTAAAAGGTGTAACTATGCTTGATTTAAACCAAGTTTTTTGAGCAAAATACTATTATAATTGTTAATAAAATTAGAAATTGTTTTTGGCCTCGCGCGCGTTAATAGCAGTTTCTTCAAAATTGTGATATAATGGGCAACTTCTGTTAACGAATGAAAGTTTATGTTCAGTAGGCAAAAATATGTCGAAAATAACTATTCATACTAGTGAAAAAAGGTCAAATTTTGTCGAACAGAGAGTAATTATATACAAAGAACTTTACCCAATCAAAATGTAAATTTGCAATGTTGGGTGTTATTTCATTTATCTGTTTTTATCGTACAACAAAGGCTGCAAGACAGAAAGATTTTTGGATCTCTCTATCCTATAGCCGATTAACAAGTTTGAAAAAGTTGTATGACATAGACGTACGAATGTAATCTATGTATAAAACATGTTAAAATATAGTACAACAAAAAATATTCTATAACTATATTATACTATATTATTCTAGTGAAAAAAAATAAAATTTGCAAAATATGTTTTGCTAAGTAAAATAAAATAAATATGAAAAAAGCTTCAACATTAATTTAGTATGTTAATTTATATAAATACGTGCATTTTTTCATCATGCCATTTTTATACTTTACTTACTGAGCTGTAGATGATGGTTACATTTCATCATCACACAGCCTGCAAGAAACGTATCATTATCATTACAATTATGGTGAAAAAGAAGAGTATGGCTATTTTTTAGCTAGAACACAGAGATATTACACACTGTTTCACTATATAAGATATTTGAAGGAACACATAGTTTAGTTTCATACTGTACACCAGAGTACACTGTAGTCTTTCATTCTTATTTATACGAATATATTTTACGTATCAATAATAGATTTATAATTTTAATTTAGATTTAAACTATAAAGATTTATAAATCCTTCAGAATCAGCGGTTTTATTACAAAAAATAAATATGACTATCAAATAACTTTTCGAAAAGTTATTAATACTGACATGTTTTACACACTCGTACTTAGTTTTTTACGATGTTAAGCAGTGTAACATTGTATCATAATTGAAATACTTTATATAGGACACAATATTACTGTGTCTACATTACTATGCCATCTGTGTATGTACACTGTTGGTGAACACCCTAAATATTGGGCGCCTTTAAGTTGACAAAACGGCTAGCCTGCTCGCCGAGCAAATAAACATAATTAATTGTTCGTTATAGATCCAACCAATCATATTCAGTCAAAAAGTAATGTAATCGCTCGGCAAGCATGAAATGTAAATTTACATTACATGTCAAATGACCGAGCCATCAACGCCGATTTAACATCTTATAAATATTAAATCAGCCAATTTAATATCAATCGGTGTACAGTGTGGTTCTCTTGTCTTATAGTTACATATTATTTCAAAAAATTCGAGATCCATCTTAACCATAATTTACATCATGTTCCTATGACATAAAACATTTTTGTAAATTTTATTACTTGGATTAAACTTATACTGATGAAGACCTAAACGAAAGGTCAAAACATTTATTTATATTATTATATTATATTATTTTTAATAAAATTACTTATAATTTACACAAATAATTAGTATTGACTCACATAACGTGTGAGTTATACACACAAATAATTAGTATTGACGCAATAACTTTACATATATTTAGATTTAATCTCTTGAGTTTATGTTTTTATAGAAACAAAAAATAGTTTTTTGTCACAGATGAACTACTCTACTTATATGCAAAATGTTAGAATTTTTTGAATTTTTGAGTTATTTAACCTCTCTTGTGAGGTATAGCTTTAAATGTTTAATTATTAGCCATCGATCTAAATCCTCTAGATCTGTGAAGAATTCCAATTGCCAATGAAGATATGCTATGCCAACGTATCTATGTCTATGTTTACACGGTTCGATTTACGCCGAAGTTATAACATCGATGTTATGAAAGTGACCAATTACAGTCCTTCCATTCTTCAGAGGAATAGCTATGATTGGCCAGTTTCATAACATCGATGTTATAACTTCGGTGTAAAGCGTGCCGTGTAACGGAGGTCTATGATGCTTATGACATTCGCAATTGCTCCGGGATCTTTGAAAGAGTACGACAGCCCATGATTCGACGTGTTCAAACACGTGTGTTCAATCAAATGGGAAACACTTCGAACATTTGTTATAATTAAATACTAAAAATAAATAATAATAAATATTACTTTTATTACATTTCCCTATTAATAAACATTTTGAGCTATATCTCAGTGACAATGAGTTTGCCGATATATGTTCATATATTTTTTCATGCTTTGGTTTGTAGGGAGTTTGGTCCCAAATTTTGTTATTTTAATTTATATTTAATTACATCCGGTATATACGTGTGTGCGTGCATGCATGCGTGCGCGTGTGTGTACGCATATACATATATGTATATATATACATATAATGTATAACTATTGTAAATAACATTTATTTAAATCATTCGACAATGTATGATATAACATTATACATATAGTGGAAGTAACAAGGTGTGCTCTTATTTTTCGGATGCATTTTCGTCAAGTTCTACATAGTGACTGAAATCCGCCACCTTGCAATCACACACAAAACAATGGAAATGTCAGTTTAAATATAAAATTTCACTCAAAGGAAAGTTTAAAATCTCTCCCGTTAAAAATTATTCAAGATGGAAAGGTTGAGTCACGCTCGACATTGGCCTGCAAAAGATGCCTGCGCAAAAGCACACCTTGTCATTTCCACCATAATTATATACATACATATAATCAAGTAATAGGATACTATGTATCAATTGAAAAATTCAATCATAACGTGATTTAAAAACTAGATTGATTTATAATATTGTAATTAAAGTTATAAATGGTACTTACATTTGTTCTTGTTGCTCATTGCCACTTTCTTCGGCAACCAATAATTCGTACTCCTCTGCTGCAAATCGATCCCAATCTGAGAGCTACAATAAAAAAAATATATAAATACATGTATATACATGTGTGTGTACGTGCGCACGTGTATATATCATATACAATATATATGATAATTATTAAAATATTAATAAAAAGTATATATTATAATACTTCTGTAACAAATAATTCCGTAATAAAAAAATTTTCTAATTAATTTAATTTTTCTATATTTCCTTATAAATTTTTTGAGTTGATAAACATACATATAACGCACAATTATATATCTCAAAAATATAATCATAATATATTCAAAACTCTTGAAGATTAAACAAAAATAAGCATAGTGTTAAGTTAAATAAAAGTTGTGTGTGTGTGTGTGTGTGCGTGTGTGTGTATATATATATATGTGTGTGTGTGTGTGTGTGTGTGGAAAACTAAATATGATTACATACTTCGTGGCCATCAGGATCATGATCTCTCGTAGAAGCAAAAGGATCCCTCTGTTCATGATCTAGATACTTTTCCAAATTGAAGAAAGTATCAAAGAAAATGGATGTCATTTTACATTTTTTCAAATCATTTAATGATATCTTGCCTGGTACCACTGGATGAATCATATCCAACATCTAGGACATGTTATTTTTTTTTAATATTTTGCCTGTTTTTATCGTGTTTTATTCAATTTATACTTTTCAATATTTTTTCAAAAGTTCGAAATTAATAGACGTAAAATTATTTTCAAAAATTGACGAGAGGTAAACTGATAAGTCACACAAATATTAAATACCTGACAAAGACAATCTTCGAAAGGCAACGTATCTAAACCAATCGCATCCATTCGACGTAATTGTTCTTCATAGAAGTATTCCAATTCATACATCGACAAGTACCCATCACCATCGAGATCCATACATCTATCAACGAAAATATAACGTATATTAAAAGACGAATAGTATATCTAAGTTCTATTATTTGCTTTGACTGGTGCAAAATAATTACCTAAACCAATATTCAATAGCAGTAGGATGATTCTTGTCTTCTTCACTAAGAAGGAACCACACAAACTCTGTGTAACTCATTTTACCCTCCATTTGTTGCGCATCGTTATTGTTTTTTACCTTACTACCTCTCGTTACAGCACCGCTAAATATTCGTTCAATCATTCGGGTAGATAATGCTGAAGATAATAAAATAATTTGACAAATCAAACAAAAAATCAATTCAAATAAGATAGCTCAATCTATGATTATTATGCACATATTTACATATTAAATAGCGAAACATATTCTCTCACCATGATCATTATGCCTTGTTAGATCTATTTTATCTATAAAGAGGTCATGATCACGATCCAATTCCCAGAATTTGCAATATATCACATAAAAATGTTCATAACTGAAGTATGCTGTAACTTGATTAATATCTTCCTCGTGCTCAAGCATAGCGATCATTGCCAATAAATTACTTCTCCTTAATTCCGCAATTGAAATTTTACCACTCCAACTTCGATTTACACAATAAAATATCCTAGCAATTACCTGCAATTATTTTCATAAATATCCATAAATGATTAATTTAGCTTAAGTATTGCATAATATATGCAGTACCAAAAGATTTCATTATTAGTTGCACGGTTAAATTATAGTTTAAAAATAAATATAAATAGTTATTTAAATCTAAACGTTTGAACAAAGTATGTGAAATGATTATAAAATTAGGATTCTGTTATAATAAATTTTTATCCTTATTAAAAAAAGTGTATTAAAAGAAGGGTGTACAGAAATTTTATAAATATATTGGATATTTTCCAAATGTTCGTACGATAAATACGAATTAACAGCAATTTAATCTTGATAGATCAATATGATTAATATAATTAAAAAAGGTAATTGTTAAGTTAAGGTCTTTACTTCCGATTTTCATAAAATTAGTCTCATTCGTTTTTTAACAAAATGAACGAATTTGGCAAAAAGAGTGTCGCTTTGTCCCTTGAACTGAGATATTAATTGTTAAAGTTGAGTTGACAGATATTTAGGTACGAAATCTGTTACAATCGATAGCATAGAAGATTACACAAATTCTGTGCTTTATGAATACAAATTCTCTGCTTTAAGAACACACATTATTTTCTATAATAATTTAAATTGATGTCTCTATGACCTGACTGTGTCTTCCGTGATGCAAATATTTAAACTGCAAAAATCAAAGATACTTATTTAGTTTAGCTATATTCTATTAAAAATCAATGAAGTTATGCTCGTTCGATGCGTTTTTGTTCAAAGCAAACGAATATGACAAAAATTTAGACAGAAATCATCAGTCTAAACACAAGTAAATCTTTTTAGTTCTAGCTTCACATACATATTCACGTGTCCCTTTACGCCGTGTGACAGATTTCTTAATCTGAATAGTCGAATACAACTTTTGATTGTATCGCGGTTTACAAGGTATACCATAATTACTTTTATTTTTTACTGATTATGTATTTTTCAACACACGTTATTCTTCGACAGTGTCGCAATTGTGAATACCGTACAGGTAGCTACCATGGTCATACTTACTCCTCTACAACCAAAAAAATAGGGTTGCAGTGAAAGCGTTATGAATTTCTTTGCCGCTGCGGAGTCTACAGTAAACTACAGAGATTTTAATCCTTTCTATTACTCCCTACCTGTATGCCATCAATGTGACAGATTTCCTAATTTAAATCAACTTTAACAATTAATCTCAGATTGCGGGATAGAACAATACTTTTTTTATCAGATTCGTTCATTTCATGCAAAAATCGAATGAGACTATTGTATCAAAATTGGAGATATGGAACCTAAACTCAACAATTAGCTTAAAAACTTTTAATAAATAAAGAATGAAGTATAAGTTAAAATCAAATGTAAGTTATTTCATACAAACCGTGTGTACGTAGCGGGAATGAAATTCTGTAGCTTCCTTTAAAAATGTCAATCCTGGATGTGTTTCTACTACATCTTGTACTAGTGGTATCAAATCTTCCGGGAGTATATAGTCTCGGAGACTCCGAGTAATTATACTGATAAATTTACAAGCAGCATCGTGATGAATAGTTGTTAATCTATAAGGACAAATACAAAATTTGTTTATTGCTAGTAGGTAATAGAAAAGGATTCTTACACAGGAGTTCCAAGAGGGGGTAAAAGGCGAGGAGAGGGTAAGACACGAGAAAGAGATATGGGTTATCCGCGGAGCGCTCTCTCTCTCTCTCTCTCGCATCCGTTGCAAAAGATAAAAGATAGAATAAAAATAATATTTAAAAACAAATAATTTTAATACATATACTTTTCTAAAGTTAACTAATACAGTAAGTACATTACTCCAGTATAATAAGTATATTATAAAGATATTTAACAAGGAAAGACTACGATCTATAAAAGATATAAATTGCATTACATAGCTTACTTTTTCCAAAATTCTAGAAAGACATTCATTTCGACAAATCCTTTTTGCTCACCGCCTGTTGCCAGGAAAAGTGGTACTTTCCAATACAAGGGTAAATCGCAAGCCTATATAATAAAAAAAGAAATTTATATTACTCCAAAATATATAATATTCCAAAATATAAATATATAAAATAAATAATACATTAATATATTATAACTTCATATTAGTTGTAAAATTACTGATAAGAACGTTTCGTATTATGTAAAAGAGTACTCGAGAAAATAATCAAAATGTTAATGCCTTATTTCTATTTCTTAATCTTAAAAAATATATTGTTATACATTTTGAATTACCTGCATAAAATATCTTTAAATATATTTTTAAAAAAATTAAATTCTATCTCGCAATTCTATCGCGATTGAAATAGTTAAAATAATTAAAATTTTAGGTGATTAATTAAAAAGTAATTAACAAATTTTGTTCATAACTTTTATTTATTGCTTAATATCACTCGTATTTAACACTCTTATTTATTGATTTAAAATAGATATAAAAAAACATTGTATGAAACTACAGGATCATATTTAAAATACAGATTGAGCCATTTTTACATCAGATTGAACATGTATTAAAGAAAATCGAAAATTTGATTTAAAAATTGATCATTAGCGATCTCTAAATCTTAATATTTTTTAAATAAAATTTAGGGATGTTCTTTTAGCAGAAATGAAATCTTTTCAACAGAGACCGTTTAAAAGAATTTTTTTTCTTTGATAAAGTCTAATATCCGCGCGCACGCGCGCGTGTGTATGTATGTATATACAATCATTTAATCATTATGAGTATGTCATTATTTAACTGTGATATTAGAGCATCAATTATTCGTAATATCATCATTTTGACGTCTTGAGAACGTTAATTGGTAGTCAACTAATCAAATTCTAATATGTAAATGATATGTGTGTCTGTTAAATGATTCTTTTAAAACTAATACTTATTGTTAGAAAGAATTGTTTTAGAAGAAAGGTATTTATCAGAATATCACGTATATAATGAAAAGATAAAAAAATAAATTGTTTGAACATATTGATCCAATGATAAGAAAAAAAGTATAAAAATAGCTGGTTTTATCTATAACTTCATACATCGTCTCTTAAGATTGTCTTCATCATTGTTAACATAAATGGCTCAAAAGTTATGGAAAGTATTACTTTTATTTTAGCAAACTATTTTATTTAAAAAAAAATTTATAAATTCTCACCTTCGTGATAATATGAAATTGTGTTTGAGAAGCACAACAATTCGGTAAACTCTGAAAGGCCACAGTAATTTTTGAGGTGATCCTCTCTAACTGTGAGAGAGGAAGTGATTTCCCTCCTGGAAAATAAAATCTGCAAAAAAGATAATATTATTTTAAAATTAATTAAGTAAAAGATTTAATTTTGATTTGTAATTTAGATGAAATTACAATAATAATAAATGTTTTGAACTTTCAAACGTACTATATTCTCTCTCTCTCTTCTTTTTTTCAAATAAAAATAATTTTTAAAAGAATATAGATATAAAAGTGATATTATATTTTGTACAACTTGAATCAATATTTATAATTAAATTAGTAAATATTTAGAAAAGGGGAGCTACCAATGTGCTCTTGATTTTGACATATGTTGTCAAGGTCATAACCTTAAGTGACCTTCAACATGTTTTATGTGATGATCGCTGTTCGTCAAAAAGTTAAAAGTTTGAAAAGTAGGAGGTATCTTTTCTACTATACACTATGTGTATAAAACAAATTTTTCTACTTTAAAATATTTTACGACTTTTCACGCGAAGCAAATCTCATTTCACCTCCTCTTCTACTACTAAAAATTTAATATAAATAAAAAAATAAAGAACATTTTCAATGTACATTTTTAAAAAAATAAAGGACTAGTGAGCCATGTTAATTATTAATAACGATATTCGTATCGCTAATAACGATATTTAATATCTTACATAAATAAAAACAGTATCAAATGGAACAATTGAATACAATATAAATAAATTGTTGATACACGAGTTTTCACGTCATATTTAATGTAACGAATTTTAAGATTACGAGTTACAGAAATGCATTATAAAGTTTTATTATTTGACTTCTTAATATATTTTTTTCTTTAAAATTTTGATTTTTTTATAATATTGTATACGAACCTCGGTATATGAACACTCTTATTGGCTTTTACTTGTCTTTGTAAAGTTGTATGTGGTGGCAGACTTTTTTGCTGCGTCTTCTCTCTCGAGTAAATCTATAAGAAAAAATGCGAGTTGAATTAAAAAGAAAGATTTTAATAATCAATTAAAGTCTACCTGTAAAAATATATCATCTCCATAAACAAATCAAACTGAATATGGAAATACAATAAGTTGTTTTTTTTAAAATATATATTCTGCCAGTTATAATTATCATTTTGTTTCAATCATTTTCAAGAATACGCCGACGTTTCATTGCGACATCGTCAGAAGATTTCAAGGAAAGTGGTGATCAATTTATTGCCATACCTTGCAGTGCCGATGGTTACGTCATGGTCATTATACGATTACTCTCATTCAGTTCACATGGCACAATAATAGCAGCTGTTAATGATAAGCTCAAGATCAAGTGGCTTCATATACACTACACAAAAAAAATTAACCCTTTGTTGCACAAATTTTTCTGTTAAACGAATTTCGCTGTATTTTAATCTATGATGGCTTTGGAGTCGTTGATCAACAAACCTAATGTCAAAAATTTTAAAATCAAAATGGCGGATTCAATATGGCGGCTAAAAAAATAAAAATATTAACTATAACTTATTTACATGTAAAATTTTATACGTAAGAATATATCTTGAACTTCTGATTTCAAATCTGCACACAAAATTTAAAAATATTTTTGACATTGTATTTAAAGAACTATTAAAGATATAAGAAATACACAAATATACAATAAACATTCTTTTATATAAAAGTGTTATTCTCAATTATTCAGATTTTAAGAACTTTTGCGGCTAATTTTATTTATTAAGACAGTTTTAAGAAAGCATTAAAAATGTGTTAAAAAGAAAATATATGTTTTTCATTTGTCCACAAACGACGTTTGAATTTTACACAATTTTCGGCTACCCAAATCTTTCCACTTCCCTAAAATCAGAATTTAACATATATAGTCATTTCGACCATTGTTTTGTCTTAAAATTTATCAATTATAAATGCAGATTCGAAATCAGCAACCTCGAAAACATTAATATAGAGATTTTGAAGATATGTTTTTATCATTTTCATCCTAGCATAATTTTTTTTGTAAAAAAAAAGATGCTTGACTGATCTCTTTTTAACTTATAGTTAATGCAAAATAATTACATAATTTTGTTATTCAAGTCTTAGGAATAATGCCACATAATATAAATCAAATACAAGAATTTCTATATTCAATTAAAGCGGATCTTTGTGTTTAAATATATATTTTTATGTAAATTTATATCTATACATATTTCAACTTTACAAACTGCGCGCCAAAATCTTGAAACGCCATCATAAGCAGAAATTAAATTGCTCGCTGATATTATTATATATAATATATGCATAATAGTATCAGCAATTTAATAATTTTTTATTCTAATAAGCGTCTATATAAGAATATCAATAATTAAATGTTAATGAGAATCTTAAAATCTGTAAATAATTTATAAATTGCAAACAGTTTTTTGCTTTAACGCAATATAGAAGTTTTCGTATTTAAAGATATATTGATCGTACAGTCCCTATCAAATAAATTAAACTTGAAAATGTGTTTAATATTTACACTTTAAAAAAATATACATATGAAAGTTGTGTGAATGGGATTATATTTTTATTCAATAATAGATTTTTATAGTTTATTTACTCTGATTTTATTAAAAAATAAATTATTTTTTATAACATTAAAAAAAATCTCAACTTTTTGTAAGTACTTTAAGTATTTAAGATGATTTATACAAAGTTTTACGTGATTATTTGTTTATTTATTCTTTAAATAAAAAAATAAATAAAATAATTTTGTTTATATTATTTATAGAACAATTGATTTCTACATTGCAATAAAAAACATATCCGCTTCCTATTTAAATATTTTTTTTATTTATGTAGAAAATCGGCACTAAATATTTTCTACTACTTTTAAAAATGCAAAAAAAAGATAATCTGAAATTGTTTTAATTTTTTAAATGTTTTCAAAATATATTCAATACAATTTTAATTAGATTTATTCCCATCAGTTTTAATTCGTATTATATTAATAAATCAATTACCAAATAAATAAAAATATACACAAATTGTGGTAAGGTGCCCTTTGTAGAGGATACTATGCAACAAAAGGTTAAGGCAACACCTAGTTTGTCATCTAAAAATATCAAAAAAGTGTAACTTTGTAAAAAAATAACGAGGTTTTTAAAAAGCATTTTAAAGTCTCTATTTTTTAAACCAATAATTAAAAAAATTTGACTTTATGTATTATAGCTATACAAATACAAATAAAAATCTGTTAAATCTATAATAAAATCTTTTGTACGAACTTTACGAAGTTCCATGGTGTAAATTAAAAATCGCACACAAAAACAATTCACAATTTTCGAAAGAGTAAAAAAAATTGTTTTCACTTCAACGTTAAATAACTTGAAAAAAAATACTATACTCGCGCGCGCGCGATAAATAAGTAAATTAAAAGATAAAAATTCAATCCTTCGAAAACTGTAAACTGTTTTCTTTATATGCGTTTTTAATTTATGCCATGAAACTTCATAAAGTTCGTACAAAAATTTCAGATTTGACGGATTTCCATTTATGTATATCCATATTCTTCAAATACGATAATCTAAGATTATGATAATCTCTTTAGTGCACTCTATTACTAATCATTGCGACTACTCGGTGGTTTAATCAAGATTTTTCAATGTATTACTGCAACATGACTGATGATGGCTCGAATGGAGCCAAACGTTCAATTGTTATACATTTATATAAGATTTGAAAAATATATTATGTCCTAAATGTAACAAATTACCGCGTATCAATGCTTTCAATTGCTCTGTTTTTAATTATTTATTAGGTTTTTTATTTATTAACCCATATATAGCTCCAAAAAATTAATCAAATTATTTCAGTTACGAATTTAAAAAATAGAGGCTTCAAACCTTAATATGCGTTCTAAAAGATCTCGTCATAATAATTTTTAATGCAGTTACGCTTTCTTAAATATTACCTACTCTTTTGAAGGACATAATAGGTGATTCCTTAATTTTTTGCGTACGGTATAAGACAAAGATTTCGAATTTTAATTGTTAAATTATTTAGTATTAAATTTCTTATTATAATATATTACTTGTAATCATAGAATTTCTGAAAGTCTTGAACTCGGTCTTGAAAATCTTAAAAGTTTTGAATAATAAATATTTTGAATAATTAAAAAAATATTTTTCATGTATAACTTTGGTAATCAAATATTATAAGAAATTAAAAGCTCTGACAAAGTAAATCAATAGATGAGAATACCTTTGAAAGCTAATACCAAATAGTGGAGCGTATAATTAAGGGCGAGTTTTTTAATTCATCGATTGATCAATCGCATGATGCGCAAATACATGTTGCACTTTTACGTATCATGCAATTGATCAATCAATGAATTAAAAAACTCGTTCTAATTTATTTAATATATATAATAGTCACTCAAAATACTACACATGTATGTGTCGATCCTCAATTCAGGCTAATATTAAACATATACAAATAATTTATTACGAAAAGCACTGTCTTAGATTTATGTTCAGATTTAAACCTGGAATTACCGTCATTCTGAGACGGATGTTATATCACCTCCGATAATATTTGTTGCAATAAATTTTCAATGCACGTAATTAAATATAATTTAAATTATAACGTGTAATTAATATCGATCCTGAGTATTTTAATTATGATATGAGAATTCCTATATATATTCGATTAAAGCAGACCTTAGTGCTTAAATTTTTTTGTATGAACTTTCATACATATCTAATTTTGCAAATTGTTTTGTTATTGCGACAAATATCGCCGAAATCTTGGTCAAATTAATATAATACCCGTCTCGAAATGTCTTTAATTCCATATTCAAACCCTAAGACAATATTTTTCGCAATAAATTATTTGCATATTTTAAAATCTTCATTACCATCTGATTATTAATAATACTATTATAAAAGATGTTTAAAAAATTATTAAACTACTTGTTAATTTAAATAAGTATTTAATAAAATTATATTAGTACTCTCCGAATGTTCTGGTTCTGCTCGTAATGGCTTCAAAACCGAAAAAAAACGATGCACAATTTATAGAAGTAGATATGTATATATTGTAAATTTATACAAGAAATATTTAAATATTAACATCTCCATTGACTAAATATAAAAATTTGCATAATTAATTAGATGTATCCTCATCGATTTAAATTATCACATATTTATTCTAATTATGTCAATAATATAATTAGTACAAAGATTGTATTAACGTTTCGTTAATAATCAAGATTCTGCAACTAAATGTGGTAATGTTGCTTTACAAAACATAATCTTATGAGTTCGACACATCCAATATGCTTCGTACATAGTTCTTCATTAAACTTTCAAATTTAATGATAAGCTATAATAGATATATTTTTAATATGCTGCCAGTTCGTACATTACAAATCATGTGAATTTAGAAAATTATTTAGAGGAAGAATGTTCGATGACCTTCACATATATACGTCATCAAGGACACTCTCCTAAATGATCACCAGAAAAACGATATAAATTCAAATTAGAATATGGCTAAAGATGAGCTTCTACACTGAATGTTAAATAATATTAATTGAATTTAATGTGCTTAATACATTATTAAAGAGAAGCGAAACTAGTTTCAACTTACATGTAATTCGAAACTAGTTTCGCTTTGATTAATTTAAATTATAAAATAATTAATAAGTGATGTAGTGAAAGTATCACAATGATAAAAATGAATCGAGTCACGCCAGTTGTAATAAAAACGTCTACAATGTTGTAATATAATCCTTAATACATTTCAGTCAAAGTCAAGGAATTGCTTATTTCTTTGATATTCTCATTTAAAAAATCCACACACCGATCATTATAATTAGTTATATACATATAAATATCTAACGAAAAACATTACAAAAACCCAAACAATGCAAGACAGAAGAACTGACTGCATGATTTAAAATAAAAACATAGGAAACTTACAATAGAATACTATATAATATCTATTTGTAATAAATAAAAACGATAGAAAACTATATATAATGATGGAACATTAGTAATAAATATGATAAATTACAACAAAAATTTCGCTATTGCCGGTTCCAAGCCAAGATGAGAAAGGAGGAGGATTTTTAGCAGCCTACCTAATATAAAAAAGATTTAATGCTCACAGAACCAACACACTAGCCTCGGATTCAGGATGGATATGGTGACGATACGACAAGGAAAAGGAAAACGAAATTATGACAAGGAGGAAGAACGAGAGCATCTTCCGCAAAGACGGAAGTGTGTGTGCGTGTCTCGCGCGCGCGCGAGAAAGAGAAGAATAAATATGAAATAAACATCTACGGACGGGTGAGGTCTGACGTTGGAGTTGTTCCACGAAAGGCTTGAAGCGAATATAGACAATATATTATATATACATATATAAACGACTAATTTGTACAAGTCACCTTAAGAACAGAAGATAAACGTCCACTACAAATCGTGTCTGTCTACTCGTCGGACATAAACAAACCTAGAGGAGAGAAAATCGCAATCTACTAACAGTTACACCATGATCTGATAGAAAATGCACCGCCACAAAATAACGTGATCTTACTAGGGCCGGTATTCATAGTCTTATATTCAAGACCGTCTTAAGTTCAGTCTTGAGGAGTTACGAACCAATCAGAGGGCCGCTTTAGCATCTTAAGACATTACTTAAGACAGTCTTGAAATAAGAATCGACTATGAATACCGGCCTAGGAGACTTCAATGCAAGAGTTAAGCTCTGTGAAGCTGGCACCCCTAAATGCGAATTTTGATAAAATCTTTATTGCATTCGTTTGTCCACTGTTTGTCCACGTTTGTCCATCCGTTATTTTCGTTTGTCCACCCTCCAAAAAAAAGGTATAAACAAAAAAAATTTGTAGCACCCGCAAGTGATTATTTTTCATAATTATGTACGGGAATCGTTTGTCCACAATGCGTACATGATTGTCCACCCATTATTTTCGTTTGTCCACCCTCCAAAAAAAAGTTATAAACAAATTAAAGTTATAGTTTTCGTCTTCGGACAAATAAGTGCGTATATTTTATCATTATGCACAGGAATCGTTTTGCACCCGCACTTACTTGTCCGAAGACGAATACGGTAACTTTAATTTGTTTATAACTTTTTTTTGGCGGGTGGACAAATGAAAATAACGGGTGGACGAACGCGCAGGCGTGGTGAACAAACAATTTCTGTGGATAATTATAAAGTATACGCACTTATTTGTCCAAAGACGAATACTGTAACTTTAATTTGTTTATAACTTTTTTTTGGAGGGTGGACAAACGAAAATAATGGGTGGACAATCACGTACGCGTTGTGGACAAACGATTCCCGTACATAATTATGAAAAATAATCACTTGCGGATGCTAAAATTTTTTTTTGTATAACTTTTTTTTGGAGGGTGGACAAACGAAAATAACGGGTGGACAAACGTGGACAAACAGTGGACAAACGAATGCAATAAAGATTTTATCAAAATTCACATTTAGGGATGCCAGCTTCACAGAGCTCAAGAATGATGTCATCGCAGAAATAAAACGAAGATTTAATAAAGACGTGAAAAACGAAAACGGAAATCAGCTTATAGATTCGTGCATACAGTATAGGTTATAAAATAATTTTTTTTATAATATCACAAAAAGATCGACGGAAGAAACGATAGGCTAAAGAAAAGTAGACACAGGATTAGTATTTAACTACTCGTGGTTGGAGATAAAAAAACTCGCCTCGGAAAAAATATAACCATACATATATATGTTTAGAAGCTGTAAAAATAACGCAGAAGATACAATACAACAGCATCTAAAACAAAATAATAGAATAGACTGAATAGACCATATAAAGAAAGAATACTAGAAAAAATTTTCAAAATCCATGGATCAAGATATGTTCGGTGATCAAAGAAAAATATGGAAAATGCTTGGAACAAAAAAAAAATCAGTAAATGAATACATAACAGCCAAGATCGACTCAGACACATGAATAGCATACTTCAGAAACCTCTATGTAGGAATTTCAACCAATGGAAATGAGAAAGAGGAATGAAATGAAGAACTTAGATCAACACTAGACAAATAAGGAGACAGGAAGAGGTCCGCTCTTAAGCTGAAGAACGGAAGCACAGACGTAGATAAAATAACTAACGAATTAAAGTAAAAGGGAGGACCACTACTCTAACATGTAATGATTTTACTAAAGAAAATCTATGCAAAAAGATCTGATGCAAAATGAATACCGAAGACCTGCAAATCCAGCATTATTATTTGCATATATAAAAAGGATGACAAAAAAGAACCTTAAAATTACAGAAAAGTAGTATTACTGAGTGCTATAATAAAGCTTATGACCAAGATCATAACAGAACACATCAGCAACTAAATTCCTATATCCGAGAAACAATAGAACTTCAAAAATAATAGCCCTCTATCATAGATGCAATATTTATACTCCTAACAGATCATCGAGAAAGCTACTGAATTCAACAAACTAGCCTACCTATGTTTCGTCGACTTAACACAAGCAATTCAGCAGAATGCAACTGTTTGACGTACTAAACATATTACACAAGAAGCAGGTAAACACAAAAAGTACAATTGATCAAAGAAATGAACGCAAAAAACACTACGAGAATCAGAACGGAATATGGGACCATCAAGGAGATTCCAGTAAGTCGGGAAACCGCTGGGGAGATAATCTAAATTCATCCTAATGGACGAAATAATAGAAAATGTTAGACAGATAAGGAATACTGGCTCAGAAACACGGAGGTAAATATAGTGTGCTACGCAATGATTTTACTTTCTGCGAGCACAATAAAAACAGGCTTTTTCGTAATATCTTTTGTAAAAGAATTACCTGAGCTTTATTTTGCACCTCATGACCACCACTCAATGTATTGATGGCCGGTTGTCGTGGACCACGTTTGTCTAACAGCAGCTCGCTTGGACATTTTTCAAAAATGAGTACACGCTCTGCCACGGAGCCTCTTGTGAGGAATGGTCTGACAGGATTATTGCTCGTTCCTGTCGTCACGGCCGTTCTTATATGTTGCTTTTGTTGATTAGTTAATTCTGGGTGAGGTACAACTTGTTCTAGACGTGGTCGTGAAGAAGTAATTTTTGATCCCCATCTAGATGTCACTGAGTTCTTATCCAAGTCTTTAATATCCTTATCTTTTTGTATTTCCATCTCAAATTTCGTTCTTGTGCTGGAAACCAATTGCTCTGTGGTGCAACTATTGTACGTATTGTTTGAAGCTCGTTTCTCCTCAAGTCGTTGTTGGGTGGGTGGATTTTGTTGAGCGGCCTGGTATCTAACTTTAGCATAGTCAACCGCTGACATAGCGGACAGATCATCCTTGCTGAATGATTTTGCATTATTAACTAATGCAATATGACTAGTAGGTACAGTGGCGACAGTGCCAGCATTGTCTCTCTCATTATTGATTACATTTTCCATAGAACTAGAAGTTCTTGAATTCGATGCTATTGAATTATTCCCATAATAATGGCCTCCGATAATGATTTGTTTGACCGATTCAACTTTTGGTTTTTCTTGTTTAATAGCCGGCTTTTGTTTATTGCGCAAACATGTTATTATCTTCTCTGGTTCTTCAGTAATTACAGCACCTGTTTTTAAAGCATTTATCAGTCTTTCTTCTTCTCGTGCAACTTCGTCGAGATACGCACATCGTGAGTTTAAACTTGTTAAGACTGATTTTTTCTCATTCTGCGCTGGCACTGTTTTTGTAATATCCTCTGGTTGAGATGTTTTAGTTGATGTGAGAGATACATCTGTAGCCCTTTTAACATCATTTAATTTATTTTTTAATGGCCAAGTTGTCACACCTGAAGTGGTCAAATGTGATGAGTTAATGTTTAACGAGGAATCAGTGGACGATGATGTAATTAATGTACTAGTAGGCCTCTTTTGCTGTATTCTATTGGAAGATGTCAAATCAACTGGAAAAGTAGTTTCAATAGTCTCCAGGAAGACTTCGCAGTGATGAGGGCTAGACGTCTTCGCAGAAACCTGAGGTTTTATTATTTGTGATTTGTTCAAAAATGATGAGGTAGGAGTTAGTAAGACACTCGACAATTTCTTTGAGTTATCAGCAATTATATTATTCTTTGTTGCAACAGCTATTTGCTGTTGTTGCATAGAGTTTTTCTCAAATTTCTGTAGAGCAAATTGTATGGAAGATGGTAATGGCTTAGACGGTAATTTCTGTTTAGAAGCAGCTATTCTAGCTTTGTCCTCTACTACAAAATTATTGACTAGTTTTTCAAGATTGCCATTATCAAGATTTGGCGAATTTAATATATCTACCGTTGTTGGGGAAGAATGTTCGAGTGATGACGATGACATCTTGTCGCCAGTATTATTTCCAATCACAGCATTTCCGATAGTAGGTGAATTGCAAGGTGTCAACGTGCTACCAAATTTATCAACAGCAGTTGTATTACTGTGGCAAGTTAGAATCTCAGTCGGTGCTAATCCACGGCTCTTCCACGTCTGATAAATTGCCTCTGCATGATCACTGATCTGCTTGGCAATTGCAGCTATGTCTTCTTCGCCAGAAGTAGACGAATCTGCAGGAAATTTTCTACGTAAATCATGTTTGGCTGTGGCAGCCATATCATAAAAACACTCTTGTTGACGCAATTGTGGATGATGATCAAGTAGGAAATTCACTACTTGATTGTTCAATTTGATGGACTGATCCAATACTAATCCGACTAACTCGGGATTCTTCTGAATAGGCACGATGTTAATTGGAATCGCGTAACCAAAATGGATTGTTTGACAGTTCACTCGATCATATCTTGAACGTGATTCGTTTATCAAGCAGGCATTTAAATTTGGACAATGCACTGTCTTACTTGAACGTGAGTCGACAATCGCTGATACAAAAAGATTACGTCGTGTCGCGTAGACCTGGCAATTCCAGGACAACGACGACGGCGACGACAATGATGATGATTGCTGTAATTCCGCTATTTTAGCCGACAATAACGATGACGATGTTTTTGAAGATTGATGAGATATTATTGTTATCGCTGGCATATCTCAGACCGATTGGCCTAAAAATTTCATTTCCCACAACAGCCACGTTATCTTAAAATTTTCTTTTATATGATAAATCATTGTTTCCCTTTTTTACATTTACGGTCACCTTTTATTTTTATTTTTGTTTATGTCATTCTTTCTTTTGTTACCAAATGTAATAATTAATATCCTTCAAGATTTGTTGATATACTGACAATTATAATACGGCTGAAATATCCAATTACAGGACATAATCAAATTTGCACAGATGAGTGATGATCTGAAACAAATAAAAATTAATTTTTAAGTATAAATGTTTAGTAAAATAATTAAATATAAAATGTAGAACAGTTATTAACAAATCGCTTCATATTATTAAGAAAAAATTAATGTTAGATTATTGAACTGTAAATAATTAGCAGTAGTTTTACAAATCATTAAATAAAAATGTCTATTTATAAAAAAAATTGAGATACTTTCAATTAATAACAACTATGAAAAATAAAATAGGAGACTCTACACAGTATCTTATGATATGACTCTCAAATAACGATTTAATTTTTTTAGTAAATATAAGTAGTAAATGAGTATAAGTAATAAATATAGTGGATAAAAAGACCAGGTAAATTATATTTTTATTGTTACTATTTACAATATCATGTCTTTACCCATGCCATTATTTCTAGATTAATTCAATATTTAATGAATTTAATATTATGTACAAAGATAGCAAATTTATATCGAAATTATTTCGGTACTAAAATATTATAATATAAAATTATTTTAATAAAAAAGAATTATTTGTACAAGAATTATTACTGCACGATTGTAATAACAGTATTCAACAGGAGGACACATTGAGGTTATTAATATCAATAACGGTAGTCAACTTGTTCCACTCGTGGAACAAGTTGACTACCGTTATTGACACTAATAACCTCGATGGCTGTTCTTAACGATCAATTAATTATGGGTTAATTAGCGTTAAAGGGCTGATATTGTGATAACAAACCAGCCGCAATATTTTGCTTCGTAACTATCTGTCAATATTGCACAAGAAAAATTAGATTTTGCATTTTACGTCATTAATCAATGACATGGATAGAAAAAAAATTATGTATACGGGATATTCTATGTAACCGAATGTAATATTTTAAACAATTTAAAAAGTAACAAAATTCATCGTGCGCAAATATCGTGTTTTATTGTATTTTCGTATTTTCTACAATAATCACAATATTTACAGAAATAGTAGTCTACATCAAGATCTGTTAAGTCATTAAGCCGTGCACAGCGAATAGTCGTCTATGTCAATTTTCTCGAAAAGAAAATTTCAAATGAAAAAAATTTTATTTTACATTTTTGATTTATTCTTTGTAAACTCACCCATTACTTGATTGTACCTTACGCTAAGAAATTAAGAAATTCTCCAAAAAAAATCCTATTCTTTAAAAACAGACAATTTTCGAGAGAATTACTTCGTCAAAAATTATCACAAAGAATAGTCCAAACAGCATTTTAGAATTTAAAGTCACTACTTATCAGATTAGTAGTTCAGATAACGATCTAACTAATTTTTTTATTAATTATGCAAAGCTTTCTATGGACCACCATCTGATAACCTTGACGACACATGTCAAGGTCATCACTCTGAGTAACTCTCAATAGGTTTTAGCCTACCTCCTCTGCTTCGGGTCGTATGACTTTCCACGCAAAGTGATTTCCACCTCACTCCCACCCCTGCCTATGGCCGTATAACTTTTCACGCGAAGATACCCATCTTTCTCCCTATTCAGAGGCGCACGACTTTCTAAACAAAGGGATGTGATGTCCTCGCTTCGCGTGAAAGTTGTGCTCTCATTGGTATGAGGGAGATAAGGTAATCCCTGCTTCACGTGGAATTTGTAGTACACCCCTAGATATGGATAGAGATGGGATGGATTTCGTTTTGCATGGAAAGTCGCGCGTCCCTTAATAGGGGGAAAGAGGTGGGATGAGCCTCGTTTTGCGTAGAAAATCTGATGCTCCTAGACAAATCGAGTGCGGAGTAATTCTTAATATTATATAAAGTATAAATAAGACGTTATTTCTTAAATTCTCTTCTTTTTTGGTAATAACTTTATTAATTCAATGTAACATTCTAATTAAATTCATTAATAATTAAAATTGTAATTGTTTTTTATTATTTACTTTTATTAATTATTATTACAATTTTTAAGTTGTTTTTATAATTTTTCTTATTCGATTCTACATCGCCAAATGTTTATTTCTTTAATTCTTTGTGATTGATGAATACAACAATCTTTTTTTTTGATATATCTTACTCAAATTTTATCATATAAATTAGTAATAAAAATAATTCCATTTGAGTTTTATTAGTTATTGATACAATTTTTATATATTTTTTAAATATTTTTATATATTTTCTGTAATATATATGTAACATAATAAATTATAATGTTAATAATAAATTACAATGTTAATTGAACTCTCGAGATATAAACAATAATTAACATAGTCTCAATATGTAACATAGTCTTAACCTCTAATGATTGTAAATAATTAATCCTATAAAGTAGATTTGAAAAATCTACCATCTTATTATCTACCTCTATCACCCTTATCGTCTTATAATAGTATTGAATATAAAAATATCAAGACGCTGTTCACCTGTATACTGTTGCATGTCTTTATTCTACAGTAAGAAATTAATATTGCATTATATACGAGTATAGCAGAATTTAACTTGGCGTCATTTGTTGCTATCAAACCTTTTATGTGAATCATACATATCATTAGGATTAATTACAAAATTTGTGATATTACTTAGATCTCGAAATAACAATATGATAATGTTCATGTAATAATTTCTGAAAGATCAGTGGAGCTATTATTACTTGTGTTGAAATATATAAGTCTCTTCAATAAAAATATTTTAAAGAAAAATTAAAGTTGCGATTACTTTCTTTGTCAGGTTTGAATAAGAAGATAGTAGAATTGCACGAACTTAGCGCAAATTGATGATATCAAATCTTTTATATACCTGATACATACATTTAGAATCAACTAAATTAGCAAAATTATTTCCATTTGGATTTTACTTGTTATTAATTTGATACGATAGTTCTTTTCACATATATTTTCTGAATAATACAGAGAACGGTTTGATTTTTTATGGAACTACACAGAGGAATGGAGATCTATCAAATTTCAAAAATTTATACAATGCGCGCGCGCGCACACACACACACAGCAAAAATAAAAAAACTGTAATTGTTCTTTTTTAAATTGTACGTTCACAATGATAGAAATCGCTTTTGAAATTTTGGACGGAGAACAAATTAGCAAATCAAATTTAAGGCTGTATTAAACATATTTCGAAAACACTAAAAAAATTATCAAAAAAGTTATTTTATAGAGATTGTTTCATGTAAAGCAATAACAAATTTCTACATAGATAAAAATTATATCAATAAGATGTAAATACGTGCTCCAATAAAAATATTAAGAAATGATAAAGAAATCTAAATTTTTTTATTTATTATAAATACTTTAAATATACATATATTCAAGATAATTTATAATATAATATAAAGTTTCATTGCGATGTAGAGATTAATTATTCTGTAAATAAACAAAGTTATTTTATTTATTTATTACAAAATATTTAAACAGTCACACAATGAAACTTTGTATAAATATAAACATACTTAAAGTAATTACATTGAAAAGTGCAAATTTTTCTTATTGTTGTAAAAGATAATTTAATTTTTAATAACAAATAGACTAAATAAATTATAAAAATATATTATTGAATAAAAATATAATCTTATTAACGTAACCTTCATCTATATCTAGTTTATTTAAAGTATAAATAGTAAACATTACTAAATTTAATTTACTTTGCAAGGACTGTACGACCAATTCTTAAATAATTTGGCCAATTGACAAATGAAACTGGTTAACTCTTTTTCCATGGGAGATCTTGGAGCGGTTCCTAGCATCGTGGACACAAAGCTACACAGTGACGAACCACGATGTATTTTTATAAGATTTTGTTTCTTTATTTTATATATGTGCATAATTTTATTTGCAAAGTTATGATATCTTCTTCATGTGTCTTCATTTATTCGTATTTTATGTTTGAATCTGTATTTTTTATATATGTATAGTTCTATTTTATGTTTTCTTAAAGAATAGATAATGACAACACAATTAAAAAGAAAAGAATGACAACGCGGAGGAAGATGAAGATATGAACGATGATAGGTATGCTTGTCGGGCGACTCCGTCAAGTTTCGTTCGTGCTCGAGCAGTGCTAAGAATATCGCAGCCAGCCATATTTGGCAATGAGACCGCGTGACTACAGTATGTAACGTACAAGCATGGACACTAAAAGAATCTGTCTTTTGCTTTCCTATTTTTCAAGAAAAAGAATTTTACAGTGTACAATCAAAATTGGAATAAAACTTTGTTCGCGTGCAAAGACAAAGGAATTTTACGCTAATATAAGTTTAATATAAAATAAAACATGTATTTATATTGGAATAGGATATGGCTAATTAATACTCGCTTCATTCAATTTATTAAAATTTATAATACTTAATAAATATTAAAGTAAATTGTTAAAAATTAATATTGTTTTAATTTCTCATACAAGCACGGACAATTCGAATTCTAATATCTGTATGCATATACTCGTATATGCAAGAAAAAATATCGTATTATAAAATAATCTATTTGTAAGTAGTAACGAACTGATTCATTAATTAGATTAACCTCTTTGTCATTATGAATGATTAAGGATTAAGGGAAGTAATGCAAGGAAGATCAACTGTAATTAAGAACGTGCCGTAACTTTTCAGATTCTAGGTCAAATCAAAAAGATGTAGCATGTAAAAGATTCAAAAATGGAAAAGTGGTATAACCAATCAGTATCCCAGGAATCTCAATTTCTATTGAAAATGTGTTTGGAATATTTAATTCTACATTCAGTATTTTTCGTAGCTCAAATATTTTAATTCAAACATCTCCAATTTTGATTTAAATTTTCTTTACATTCCTATTCTCAATAGAATTTCTTGGATATTGGTTGAT